ACGTCAAAAACGACATTATTACGTCATTATTTTGCACCAACCTAATATAATTTTATTTGATTTCTTTGTTTACATATTTTTTCCGGGTCCTGACCAGAGACCTAAGGTTAGAAATGGCATCAAAACATTTTCCAAAACCAAGTTACACAACACACAACATTATATATATATATATATATATATATATATATATATATTATATATATATAAATACAAAAGCCCTTCGTAACCTGTGGGCTGTAATAACGACCTTTATATTATTTTGTATTTCTTTAAAGGCATGGGCTTCCAGAAATCCCTTCAATGAGTCTACTGGAATCTTTTCCAGTTAATCCGAGGGCTCCAACTACAACAGGGATTGTTGATGTTCTCGTGTGCCAAATTTTTGAGATTTCAAGGTCCTTGTATTTTGGTAGCTTTTTGAAGATCTTCAAAGATACATTGCAGTCCGCAGGGACTGCCATATCAATATGGACGCATACTTTTTTTGTTTGCGGTCGCTAATAACAATATCTGGGCGGTTAACGTTCTGACTGTGTGTATTGTTTAGTCCCATAAAATTGTTACATGACCTATCTCCGTAACCGGGTCTGGGTGGTGTTTATAGCAATCTCTTTTATTTTCCTTCCCGTAGAAGTTGCAGATTTTCCAATTATTATTATTATTTCCTTTGATTTCTGGTGTATACTTATTTCTTACCGGGTCTCAACCAGAGACCTAAGTTCAGAATATTTTAAATATTATTCTCTTGCTGATAGGTTTTTTTTTTACTCCTGTGGCAGTGGAGTCCTCAGGGATTATTGGCCCTCGTTCGCTGGCGTTCCTTCGGAAGACTGGCTCGATTGCGTATCGATTAAGGGAAGAGCCTCGCGAGACGGAGTGGCTCTTGCAGCGTGTCTCACTGGCGATGGTTCGAAGTAATGCCTTCTCCATCATGGCAGACGATAGCAAAAAAATTGTTTATAGTTACTTTCTTCAATTTTTTTTTAGTAAATAAATTTCTCTATATTTTTTTTTATAAAAAAAAAAGGTTAGAATTGGCATTATGAGATATTTCCACTGATAATTTTTTTGAGAAAAAACCCCAAGATCACAGACATTTTACATAGATAAAGCTCTTCGTAAAGTGTGATTTGTAATTGTGAGTACATTTTTTTGTATTTCTTTAAGGCTTCGGCTAACAGGAATCCTTTCAGTGGGTTTATCGGAACCTTTTCCAATCAATCCTAGGGTTCCAACTACAAATGAGATTGTTGGTGTCCTCAATGTGCCACAGTTTTGAGATTTCAATGTCCTTGTATTTTTGTATAGTTTGTTGAAGATCTTCAAAGAGACATTGCAGTCTGCATAGGGAACATTTTTTGTATGTCTTTAAGGCCTGAGCTGCCAGAAATCCCTTCAATGGGTGTATCAGAACTTTTTTTTCCATTCACTCCTGGGAACTGGAATTGTTGATGTTCTCATGTGCCACATTTTTAAGATTTCGATTTTTCATAGTTTCTTGAAGATCTTCAAAGGTACATTGCAGTCTGCATGGACTGGCATATCAATAAGGGGGTACTTTTTCTCTCTGCGGTCTTTGTTCATGATGTCTGGCCGACTATCTTCGATTATTATTATTAGTAGTTTATTATTATTATTATTATTATTATTATTATTATTATTATTATTATTATTTTTTTTATTTTCTTTGATTTCTGGCGTTTACACATTTCTTTCCGGGTCCCGCCCAGGGACCTAAGGTTAAAATGGCGTCATGACACTTTCCACTGACAAAAAAAAAAAAAATACATAGATAAAGCCCTTCGTAAAGTGTGGGCTGTACTTGTCAGAACAATTTTTTGTATCTCTTTGAGGCATGGACTTCCAGGAATCCCTTCAATTAGTCTACTGCAATCTTTTCCAACCAGACCTAGGGCTCCAACTACAACAGGGATTGTTGATGTTCCCATATGCCACATTTTCGACCTCCGTGTCCATTTTTCTCTTTTATTATTATCATTATTATTATTATTATTATTATTATTATTATTATTATTATTATTATTATTATTTCTTTTGATTTCTGGTCTGTACTCATTTTTTCCGAGACCCAACCAGAGACCTAATGTCAGAAATGGCATCATGACATTTTCCACTGAGCAATTTAAAAGGAAAAGAGGAACACATTTCACATAGATAAAGCCCTTCGTGAGGTGTGAGCTTTACTCATGAGAATAAGTTTTTGTATTTCCTTAAGGCATGGGCTACTAGGAATACCTTTAATGAGTCTTCTGGAATCTTTTCCAACCAATCCGAGGGCTCCAACTACAACAGGGATTGTTGGTGTTCCCATATGCCACATTATTGTTATTATTATTATTATTATTTTATTTCCTTTGATTTCTGATGTGTACTCATTTCTTTCCGGGTCCCGCCGAAGGACCTAAGGTTAGAAATGACATCATGACATTTCCCACTGAAAAAAAATACATAGACAAATCCCTTTGTAAGGTGTGGGCTGTACTCGTGAAAACAATTTTTTGTATTTCTTTAAGGTATGGGCTTGCAGGAATCACTTCAATTAGTCTACTGGAATCTTTTCCAACCAATCCGAGGGCTCTAACTACAACGGGGATTGTTGATGTTCCTATGTGCCACATATTATTATTATTATTATTATTATTATTTTTATTATCTTTGAAGATCTTCAAAGATACATTATAGTCTGCAGAGAATGCCATGCCAATAAGAAGGCACATTTTGTTTTTGCTTTCTCTAATTTCTGTTGTATATTAATTTCTTTCCCGGTCCCAATCAGAGACCTAAGATGTGAAATGACTTCATACCATATTCCTCTGTGCTTTTGTGTAAACAAAACCTACACACACAAATACATTTTACATACATAAAGTCCTTTATTATTATTATTGAAGATCTGCAAAGATGCATTACAGTCTGAAGGGACCGACATGTCAATAAGAAGATGCAGTTTGTTTGTGTGAACTTTGATCACGATGTCTGGGCGATTTGCTTTGGCCTGGACGCAAATCTCGTGGCGGGGGGGGGAGAGCAAAGATAATTCACCAAGAAATATAATTCAGTTAAAAATCAAAGATAATTCCTTAAGACAAAAAGTAACGCTAAGCAAGAAATAAAAAAAAAATATGATGTTTTTGATCACTCACATACTGAACTATTCGGATATACTTGCAATATTTATATTATTCGGGCTGTTATCTTCATCTCCATAGCCATATTCAAAACGTTTCTGCCATTGTACGCACCGGTCTTCTTCAGCTAATTTGACTTTCGAACTGAACCCTTTATTTTGTCCACCGAAATATAAGCTCTGGTAAAAAAAATGTTATAATAATTACAAAAAATTGCAATATGTGCACTGGCAAAAAATGAAGCTGAGACAATTAGATTTATAAGTCAAAAACATTCATACAAAGATGTCCACAAAAAATTATGGCCCACTGTATTGATCCAGTGACTATTTTGAGTTCAATACTGGGCCATTGCAGAGGTGAATCTACTCTTGGAGAGCTGAGTTAAAGTGAACTAACTGAGACACCCTGAAGAGGCATGGCACGTGCAACTAGAACAATCTACACCGGTAGACGAAATAAAGGGATCGGTTCGAAATTTCAGTCATCTGAAGAAGGCTGGACGATATAACGGCCGAAACATTGTGAATATGGCAATGAAGATGAGTCTAACAGTCCAAATAATGTAAATAATGCAAGTAATCATAATACCTCATATCAGAGATATAGATAGATATTGAAGGCTCGGTTCAAAATTCTAATAGCCTGAAGAAGGACACAGCGTACAACGGTCGAAACGTTGTGAATATGGCAATGAAGATGAGGATAACAGTTCGAATGATGTAAATAATGCAAGTAATCATAATACCTCATCTCAGAGAAATAGACAGATATTGAAGGCTCGGTTCAAAATTCTAATCGCCTGAAGAAGGACACAGCGTACAACGGTCGAAACGTTCTGAATATAGCAACAAAGATGAGGATAACTGCCCGAATAATGTTAATAATGCAAGTAATCATAATACCTCATCTCAGAGATATAGACAGATATCACACGATTCATTTAAACAACCATTGGTTCTAATAAAACAGAGACGTTAGAGGAAAGTGGCAATGAAGGACTAACTATTCACTATAAAAAGACAGAATAAATGGTCATCAGCAGCAGGGGTGAACTCCGAATTGGAAAAATAAGGAATATAAAACAGAAATATAACAGAAATAGAAATAAGTAAATCTCAATCTTTTTAACCTTGTGCCAACCTTGAAATAGTTTACAAGTCTCAGGTACATAAAATTAATATATACTATTATTAATATCAATCTCTTTATATTTTCTTCCGTAGTTCACGTGGTAAACATTATATAGGGCAGTGTGCATGCGTCCTGTACTCGAGTGAGTCACATACATGAAGCGCGATTCCGTCACGTACAGGTGCTGTCCACTAACCAATGAAGGCGGTCTTAAACTGACGCCATATAGACATCGCTAAATACTTTATGGTTATTATAATATTAAATAATCTTTCTTTAAAACCAAGGATTTTTCCATGAATATGCCGGACGTGTGTAGCAAAATTACGAATACATAAATTAAACAAAAATTAAAACAAAACAAAATGAAAAAAAAACTACGCTAAAAATTACGCCAAAAATGCCTATTTATCTGAGATTCTCGCAGAAAACCTTGCGACCTCTTCCGAAAACCCCTTGTGCAACACTGTTTGGGAAAGAATTGTTTAGACTTTGCAAGAGTATATTTACCATCTTTTTACTTTTCCGTTTCTTTCTTTCTTTCTTTCTTTCTTTCTTCTTTTCTTTCTTTATTTTTTTACTATATTTTCCCTTTCTTTATTTCTTTCTAAACTATTTTTCCTCTTTCCGTTTCTTTTCTTCTTTCTTTCTTTCTCTCTTTCTTTCCGTTTTCCGTTTTTTACTTTCTTTCTGTACTATCTTTTCCCTTTTCAGTTTTTTCTTTCTTTTTTCTTTCTTTTCTTTCTTTTTTTCTTTCTTTTCCCTTTTCCGTTTCTTTCTTTCTTTCTTTCTTTCTTTCTTTCTTTCTTTCTTTCTTTCTTTCTTTCTTTACTATATTTCACCTTTCCGTTTCTTTCTTTCTTTCTTTTCCGTTTCTTTATTTTTTCTTTCTTTATTTCTTTACTCTCTGTTCCTTTTTCGTTTGCTTCTTTCTTTCTTACTCTCATCTTTCTTGCATTGTACTTGCGAATGTTAAATTCTCCAAGCAATCTTTCCTCATTACACATCTCTTTCTGGTTGTTACGAGTGTTGCCATACATCGTTTTTATTCTCAACATTGAATCGTTCCTCCAATTTCCCCACATCCGCCCATAAAGCTAAATTTTCGTCGCTTTAAGTCTTTTTTGTGCTTTTTTTTTTATATAATTACATTTTCCAGTTTCCATATTGAATGGTAGACATTACAAGACAGTCTAGCATGCCAGCGATTAGTAATAAAAAAAACATGGAGTCAGTTTCTCCAAAATAGGCCCAGTTACTTCATTGCTGGCTAAACTCTGCTTTACATGGCACGGCTGGCCCATTCACACCGACAATGGAAATCTGCAATTTTGAGGAAGATGGTTGCAATTGCTTATTTGAAACTGTTCTAATTCGTTAAACGAAACCTGTGGCCTTCGCCTGAACCCGTTTAAATATGAAAACAGATGTGTGCCTGCCGTTCCGTTATTAGCTAAGACGCTTGGCCATCTTCCTTCCAAAACAGACAATCTTTTAATCTTAGGCTTCCGCATATTTTTTGCTGAGTTTTATTTCCTTTAACAGCTGTCTCGATTTGGTTTCTTGTATGTCGATTTATTTGCTTAGTTTTACCGGTTTTTTTTTTCCTTGTTTGCTTTTCCGTTTTACATTTTATTCGCTCTGGTGTTTTTTCGCTAATTCTTCCTCCTTGTTTTTCATGGAGTGTTCAAACCAAGAGTAACTTGTAGCTTACACTGGAAATAAAGTGACAGCAAGTTACTCATACCTTACTTCATTTTTAGGCGAAGTGCAAATCAAAATTTCTGAGCCAAGCGTAAACCAGATTTCAGTCGAACATTTTGAGCCGAGCGGTAAACAGATCTATATCGAACTTTTTGACTCGAATGTAAACCTGATCTATGTCTAGCTTTTTGACACAAGTGTAAATTGGACCTGTGTTGAATTTTTGAACGCAGCGTAAAACGAACCGATGTCGAGTTTTTTCATCAGAACGTTAAAAAAACCTGTCTAACATTTTCACCCAAGCCTAAACCTGATATATGTCTTTTTCACCCAAGCGTAAACCGGATTTACGTCGAGAAATTTGACCTGAGCCTAAACCGGACCAATGTCTAAGTTTTTAACCCGAGCGTAAAACGGAACTTATGTCTAACTTTTTGACCTAAGCGTAAACTGGAACAATGTCTATGGTTTGACCCCAGCATACCGGATCTATGTTTAACCTTTTAATCCAAGCTTATACTGGACCTATGTCTAACGTTTTGATCCAAGCGTAAACCGGACCAATGTCTAACTTTCTGACCCGTGTGTTAACCGGACTTATATATAACTTTTTCATATACAAGCGTAAAACCGGATCAATGTCTGACTTTTTGACCCGAGCGTGAACCGGACCATTGTCTACATTTTTTAATAGAGCCTAAAACGATCCTATGTCGAACTTTTTGACTCGCGCATAAACCGGCGCTATGTCGAGCTTTATTTGATACAAATGTAAATTGAACACATTCCAACGTTTTTTTACCCTATTGTAAACCTAACCTATGTCTCCATATATCTATTAATGTTTGATATTAAATAATGTCCTTAAATTAAACCAACTTAAGCTAATCTAATTTCTTTCTTTCTTCCTTTCTTTTCCTTACCTTTCCATTGACTTCTCTTTATTTCTTTTTCATTATCTGCCCTCATAATATTTTATTACTAGTTTTATTTCATTTACACTGCTGTTCTCATCTTTATTTTCATATTTACGATGTTTCGGTCGTTATACGCTCCGGCCTTGGTTGAGTACTTTTCACTATTGTTTCTTTTTTATTACTAGTTCTTAACTAAATTTTATACGAAATATTACTATTTTTGTCAATTTTTAAAATTCTTCTATCGCATTTTTGTCTTATTGTGTTATTTGGTACTCACAGAGTCGTTTCTTACGATGACAACTTCGGTCGTACAGGTAGAACAGAAAAGTGATCGTAAATATACGTTTTGGACTAGCAGTTGTAACTCGTCTAACTTTCCCTTTGAAACAAAAAAGTTGGTGAATGTTGGTAATATTCTTTAATGTCTGACCGCAAGGTCAAGACGAGAGTTCTTGAAGGTCTTTTATTGGTAGTCTGCATTGATTTTTTTTTTATATTTTAAAAGCGCAAAAATAAAAGACAGAACGTAATGACTCAAAACATAACAATGTGAAGGATTGTCAAATCAGCTGTGGAGAACCCCACCACATTTATTTAACTTTGATTAGGAATGACGTGGAAAAGGATAAGCAAAGACACTGGGGGTCACCATCAAATATGGCGGTCACATGCAAAAATACAAGACAGAACGTAATGGTTCAAAACATAACATTTGAATTTATTTGTTTTAATCTACATGCATATAAGCTAAAGGTTTGATAGAGGTACGTCTCTTAGATTTGGGAAATATTTATACCGGAGCCCACGAAGTTGAATTAATTATTAAACTGTAGTTTTAGAAGAATAAAGTTCCTGTTGCATGTTAGGAAATGTGAATTGGTAAAGTTGGTAGAGTTCAGAATAGTTAAGAGTTCGTACGTGAATGTTGGTAATGTTCTTCAATATCTGACCGCAAGGTCAAGACGAGAGTTCTTGAAGGTCACATTTTGGCAGCAAGGAAGAAGACGAAAGAGAAAACGGAGAGAGAAGGCTTACTCGTGTTTTGTTCATATAAGGTTGTGCCTCACGTGACAGGCTCCCAGCTTAGTGCGCAGGAAATAATATTCCTCGCGTGCAGGCGACCTGATTGGTCGGAATTGGCCAATCAGAGAGCTAGTTTTGAAGAGGTTAGCCAATGAATGCTTGTCGTGTGATCTGTATGTATGTATGTGTGTGATGGTGATGATAATCACCATACCTATTTGTATCATTATTTGCGGTCAGACGTTAACAGGACAACAAACAAACAAGTAAAATGCTATTGATTTGGAGTAACCCAGCCACGGAGAGAAGGTGATACAAATAGTATCTGTCTATATTATAGCATTTGACTTGTTTGTTTGTTGTCCTGTTCATCTTAACGTTTTGCTTTAGCGGGAACACCAAGAAGGACGTCTCCCGAATTATCATCCTAATCGTTGCTACATTTGGAAACAGAACGGACTGTATTTATTTTTATTTTATTTCAGCATGTCTTTAGTATAAGCTAGGTTGCGATTTTTTGTCAACATGACTCTGCATGACAAACTTAGACGACCTCGTCATCGAATAGACAAAACGTATCCGTTCATTGTCATATCTCGTAGAGATCTCGCATTGTTTGTTATATCACGAGACTTTCAATTTCCCCACCTTTGCATAACGCAATCTATCACGTTTGTATGGCCTTGATGTATTTTTTTTTCTCTTGCGAACTTATAATAATCTTCCGTGAATTGTCCTTTTAAACAAATACAATTCATTTTTAAATATGGAGTGTGACAACTAAAGATGGCGTAAAAGTTTTTATAAGAATTTGTCGCAAATAATGGAAGCATTGATGTGCAAGCGATTGTCGATGATGTATTTATTTTTTTTCTTTTGAGAGTTAATTTTTATATTTCATTTTCCAAATTTCGGGATTACTCTTTTTCCTGCTTCCTTTATTTATTGCTTATGTAATTTCAGATGAAATTTCATGTTTTTTTTTTTTTATTTTGAGTTTTAGTTTTTTTTTTTATTTCCTTCCTTTCTTTCCTTTGATTATTTTTTCGTATTTCTCTTTTTTAATTAGGCTGGTGGCCATATACCACGTTGAAACACCGATTCTCGTAGGATTACCAAAGTTAAGAAACGTCGGGATTTTGTAAAATCTTTTTTAATTCTTTCTTAGATTTTTTTTTCTTTCTTTCTTTCTTTCTTTCTTTCTTTCTTTCTTTCTTTCTTTCTCAATATTGTCTTTCTTTCTTAATTTTTCTTTCTTTCCTTCTTACTTTTCTCAAGATTTTCTTTCTTTCTTTCTTTCTTTCTTATTCCTTTCTTTTCTCCTTCTTACTTCTTTCCTCAATATTTTCTTCTTTTCTCAATTTTCTCTTTTATCATTCATTCATTCATTCTTTCTTTCTTCCTTTCCCAATCTTTTTTCATTTTATTCATTCTTTTTTCTTTCTTTCTCAGTTATTTCTTACATTTTTCTTTCCCCATCTTTTCTTTCTTTCACAGTATTTTCTTTCTTTCTTTATTTTCTCTTTCATTCATTTATTCTTCCTTTCTTTCTCAATCTTCTCTTTCTTTCTTTCTTTCTTTGTTAATTCTTTCTTTCTCAATTTTTTCTTTCTTTCATTCTTAATTTTTCTTTCTTTCTCAATACTTTTCTTTCTTTCCCAATTTTTTCTCTCTTTCCTTCTTGTTTTCTTTTTTTCTCAAACTTCTCTTTCTTTCTTTCGTTCGTTCTTTTTTTCTTTCTTTCGCAATCTTTTCGATCTTTTTCGATATTTCATTTCATTCCTTCTTACTTCCTTTTTCAGTGTTTTATTTCTTTCTTAATCTTCTCTTTCTTTCATTCATTCAATCTTTCTCAATGTTTTCTTTCCTTTTTCTCTTTCAAAATTTTCGTTCTTTCTCAATCTTTTCTTTCTTTCTTTCTTTCTTTCTTTCTTTCTCAAGCTTCTCTCTCTGTGTTCGTTACTTCCTTTTTTATTTATTCCCTTTCTTTTTTGCTTATAATTTTCCTTTATTTTATTTATATTTCCATTTTCCCAATTTTATTTCTTTTTCGCTTTTCTTTATTCCGATTTCATTTTTTTAAACACACTATTTACCTTCATTTTTTTTCTTTTTTTCTTTTTTTAAGCATTTCACCCCAAGCAAGGCGGGAAGCCACTAGGACGCAAGGGGTTACAGAAAATTTAGAGCAAGATCAGATAGGAGTGATAGAAGAAAGGATGAGGGTAGTGGATCGATCAAGGCAACTGGAGATGTCGATTGACATTACACTTGAATAGCTGGAGATTATAGCTCACAGGGAAACAGGAGAAGGGAAAGGAGTTCCGCAGGCGAGAGGGGCGAGACATGAAGCTATTGGCGTAGAAGAGACGGCTACATTTAGGAGTTTCGACAGTGAAGGGGTGAGACGTCTGGGAACCAGCGAATTCTTTATTTACCTGATTAATATATATTTGCAGGACTATAAAAACTATGCGAACCAACTACAATGCAATGTTTACTGAAGTCAAGCTGCAGCCGGAATTGCAAAGGATAAGACCAGCTTTTGAATGATCAGGAACTGTAAGAGTGAATGCGACGAACACCTACGATGCAAACCCGATTAAAATCGGTATCAGTGACATGGTTATTAAAGTGAATGAAACCTATTTTGGAAGAAGTAAGATTGCACCGAGAACAGTGGGCATTTAGTGCGATTGAGAAAAACTCTGAAAGATATTCTGTTAAACACAATTGGCGATAAGACAACATTAACACTCTGTCATGCAATTGAAGAACATAATTGTTGAAACTTGACTAATGCATGGAATAATAATGCAACACAAAATGTACTTAGAACAAAATGTATTGAAACAAGAAAGTGTACACAATATTTACATATAGTCTTTTGTATATTCCAGGTAAGACCGTTCATGAAGAATGTGTTGACAGAGTCGCAGTCGGGCAGAGTCTCTGGTTGAATCTCTTGATTCCTCCCTCTCTTCCCGGTACCAACCATATTTATATGGTCGGTACTCCATTATGCAAATTAGGTGGATCCTACCACAACAATAATTTATCAGGAAAATATATACTTCCAGCTGGTTGGCTGATATATATTTGTACCCCCAAATACCCTATAAAATACACTGTAAAATAATTCTATAATAATACAAAAAGAAAGCTTTCTCCACCTAATGAATTTGGAAATAAACACACAAAATAGAGAATGTGGTTTTGCCTAAAGTCTAAAAATTAGGCCTGGTTCAGAGGAAGAGGGATAATATCTTTTAGAGAATTTATATAGCGATGGCAAATGCCCGGAAAATGAATTTTTGGTGGGGAAATACTCGTAAAATACTTCTTTTATTTTTTTTCAAAAATCATTTTTTTCAAAATGCTTGTAATTACTTTTTTCTAAATGCCAGGAAAATTCATTTCTTCAATGTCTAGAAAATGCGTTTTTTAAATGCCCAGAAAATGCTTTTTGTTCCCGAAATATGCAAAAAAAATTCTTTTTCAAACTACCATGAAAATTTTAAAAGTTTAAAATATATATATATAATATATAATATAATATAAAAAATATGTATATAATATATAATATAATATAAAAAATGTTTATATAATATAATATATATATATATAATATATAATATAATATAAAAAAAATATATATATAGTATATAATATAATATACTATATATATATATAACATATAGTATAATATAAAATATATATATAATATATAATATAATATAAAATTTTATTATATATAATATATAATATATAATATAAAAAAATGTATATATATATAATATAATATAAAAAATATATATATATATATATAATATATAATAAAAAAAATATATATGTAATATATAATATAATATAAAAATATGTATATAATATATAATATAATATAAAAAATATATATAATATATAATATAATATAAAAATATGTATATAATATATAATATAAATATAATATATATATATATATAATATATAATATAATATAAATATATATTTGCAGATAATCCTTTTTTAAATTATATCGAAGTTCTCGGAGTATAATTTTTGTCAAAGTTTCATTTTGTTTTAGATAGAAAGCGTTGCTGTAAAAAATATATAAAGTTGAAATAAATTACCCATCTCTCCCTCTGCTTTTTCTATAATTACTTCGATGGCATTGAATTGTACATATGGGAACTACTTAGGACTTTCCTGGAGACAATGAGGTATTACGGTGAATGTAGTAAGAATGGTAAGTAAGAATGCGTTGTTTTAGCGTTAGGAATATTGTGGCATGTTTGGGTTAACGTTTGTGGCTAGCTATGTTTAAATTTAAAAACAGAAGAGCGTCCTTATCTCATTCCCCATTTTGGCCTTGCAAATAAATATCACGCTTCGTTAAGGTACCTTGACTTTATGACTTGAAGCGTAGTACTAGATTGGCAACAAGATCTCATCCATATACAGTTGAAATAGCTAAATATAACCGTAAGTTCTATGGTAATAATTTCTTCTCTCGCACTCCTCCCCTGTGGAACTCATTTCTTTTGTTGTCGCTCCTCAGTGATGTTTCTATTTTCTAATACTTCCACACCCAGTAACCCCTTGTGTCTTAGTGGCTTTACTGTCTTGTCCGGGGATGATTGCGATTGATAAAAATATATAAAATTGGACACAGGTCAACACCTAATGGTGACAGTCCGTTTCGTACTTGAACGCAATCTTCAGATGGCCTAAAGATTTGTCCGATGGGAAATTCAATGAGGGCTCAGCAATTCACAATTTGAATTGGTGAGATGTAACCGTAAGTTCTATGCTAACAGTTTCTTCTATTGCACTTCTTGCTTGCAGAACTCTCGTCTAGCATCCAGCTATCTGGTCAACTTTGACGTTCAAAAATTTAAATGCAATGTCAATCACAATCTACTGTTCTCTTGATTACTTTTGTTTTGGATTCTTAGTAATGCTTCTGTTTTCTAATTGCACCACGGTCAGTAATCTCTTGTGTCTTAGCGGCTTTATTGCCTTGATTGAGTATGAACTTGATTAAAAAAAAGAAAAGAAAAGAAAACTTGTAATATTATCACTACTATTATTATTGTAATTATTGGATTTCACTTTCAGTTAAAAAATTTCCCAGATATTTAAATTTTTGTACTTGCTTTATTTTCGTATCCGCCATTTATAATTTGCATAAAGGGTTGCCCCTTTTATTGACACTCGATGAGAAATATGAGCATATAATATTCAGCAAAGTTTTAACTTATATTCATTATTTTTTTCTGTCTTATATACAAATCAGTGAGGTGAAAACTATATAAAGTTGAAGTAACCTTGCCATCTGTAGGAGAGTGCTTTGGAAAGAGTTTTTTTTTTTTTTTTTGGCTGGGGGTGTAGTTCGAGCACAGGCAAGAGAAGAAAGTCGTCAGTGTCAATTGGTACACGAATAAAGGAATTAAAGAATTCGGGCGAAAGAAAGTTTTCTGGGAATTAAATGGTTTGATGACTTTTGAGATCTTTAACTATACGTTCTGGCAGTCAGCAATGGGGAGAGGTTATCTGTAGCAGAAAGGTCAAATGTTACGAAACGTTGCGAATATCTACGAAGGTGTGGCCGCTGCTAGCAAATCGCACCGGCCAAGTGTCACTTCCTTTTTTGTTTATTAGGAGATGTCCCTGTCAGTCTCAGCACGCCTAAGCGTACATTTAAACCAACCCCCATCCTGCTATCGTGTTTCAATATACGCCTCGACCCGCACACATTATGTATTTACCACACCCATGAACAAGCAGTGAAATGGGGGTGACGATGACTGTCTTGTTTAACTGCTTTCTTCCCACAGCTTAGAAGTAATTTCAGTGTGATCCAAAAGTTTCCAGCTTATCTTTACAAAAAAAAAATATTTTTCTTTTATATAAACTTATTTCTATCTAGCTTAAATACCGCCCGATAGAGCAGCCTTTAAGCTAGCTACCGCGAAGGGCTCTTAATTCTTACAATTCAAAAATATTTTCTGGCTTTAGATAGATTCATTGGTAGAAATACTACTATTTAACCCATAGTTGAAGGAGAAGTGGTAGATTCATACTTTTCCCAAGTTTATATGCGCGTAAGTGAACCCGACTGGAATTCGAACTCGGCTCCCCGAGTAACAATTGGCAGCCGTTATCTATTACACAATCCGCGCATCTAAACTTAATCACTTGTAATAAGACAGAATGTTTGCTAGTTATCAAGAAACCAGAAAAAAAAGGCAAAAAAAAAAACGGACAATCCTGAAGAAGACAAAAAATGGCGGTTGGCATTGTTCTTAGACTTTTGAAGATTGTAGTTATCAGGGAAGAAAGAAATCGGAAAAAAGTTCCACATCTGGGAAGTGTAGCAAAATCTGTTACAGAAGGTTTATTAATAACTAGCTTAAAAATCACCCTGTCGGATGGCATTTAAGATAGTTGCTCATGATTGTGCCTTCGGCTTCTTCAGAAATTTGAGTGTCCCTAAGTCTTGCATATTCTCAGCATTAGAAGCTCTCCTGGCTGCTATTTAATCTGGGTTTTCATTTGCACGGGACTTTCTTTTTCTCACTGCAACCTTGGCTTTTTTGATTGCAATCTGGTCCTCTATTGGCGTAGATTTCTTTTTGCAAGTCATACTGTTGCCGGGTGCGATAAGCAACAATAAACTCCAGAAGAACTCAAAATCAATCGCTGCATTTAAATATCGCATTAATATTTAAGCATATCTTTTAAAAGTTCAAAGATAATTCTTCTGTCACCACTTAATTTAAAGACGATTTGATGTACGTAGGCCCTTACTTTCCGTACAAACAATTATTTTTATTTCATAGGTGACTTTCGCTGGATTTCGCAATTATTTTTTATTATTTCTAAATTTATTTCTAAGTTATAAAAATTGTTATCGTACTAAAAAATTAATCGTAATAATCACGTAAATAAATC